CTATAGTACTCTATAGTTGTTGTTGTCTTTTGTACTCAAAGAGGAAAAAAAAATGATATCACCATGTCAGGGGCAATGTACAATGTGTCTGGCTGTGGCTGATCAAACCAATGTAAGCTTAGAAGGATCTACTATAAGTTGGGCACAAATGGTTTCTATGAACATTTGGGATGGAGATGGCCCTAAATTTTTGCATCTCATGTTGCTTTTGTGCTACTGCAATTCTGCTTTGCTCATAGAGCATAGTTCCTTCTTTGATGTGGGCACACTATGCTGTGTGGTCCTTTGCTGGGGTTTCTCATGTCTCATAATGAGTACCAAAGTTCTTCAGAGAGACCTTGAGAGTGTCCTTGTATTGCTTCTTCTGACCTCCATGTGAGTGTTTGCCTTGTATGATTTCTTTACAAAATTGTCTTTTAGACAAATGTGTGTTTGGCATTTGAACAATATATATTATGCTGCCTTTCCTATTACCTTGACTTGTCAATAACACAACACTTTTGTTGTGCATTCTAATGTTAACATAGTGTCTTTATGTTATATACACACATATATTGTATCATTGTTGCTTTCCTAGATTTTATATTCCTGGATGATAGGCATCAGTTCTGCATGATTACTTCTTTACTGTGTCTGGGACAGCATCATATGAATTAGTTGCTTAATAAATAAAACCTTGATTAACTGCAACTAAAGAATGGGATATTTTGTTCAACTGAATTTTTTAACCACTGAAGATTATTTGGGGAAAAAAATCTTTAAGTTTCAGCCCCTTTAAAGTTATTTCTGGGCTGTATTATTCCATACCTCTGCCTTAGTAATAAGCATACCCTACTAAAATGCTTTTCTGGTACTTTATTTTCCATTGCAGTGTTCATAGGGTTTCAAAGGCTTTGCCAACAAAGCACAATCTCTGGCAGGTTCTATCAAATGAGAAAGGCTTTAATTAGGACCTAGGGACTTTCATACAAAGACTAGCCTATCTACATGGGGGGCGGTTCATCACCAAGAAGCCACCAGTATCACCAAACTGGCAATAGCAGCCCATAAAGCCACCTGCTAAGGTGTGGATGGGTTATTATCTACATTGACACTCTAGATGATGTCATGGTTTTTTTGAATATTGAAATAAGTAGCAAGCAGAGTATAATTTTTTCATTGATATTTTAAGATCTTGCAGAGCCATCATTCTGAATATGAATTCTTGCTGTGTAGAACTATGAACACAGATGACATCCTAGAGGCTGGAAAGGGTTAATACACCTTCCTAAGCAATAGTACCACTAAGTGTATTCCTTCAGTTTCTAAAGTGATGCATCTTTTATGCAATCATCCTTTTGGTTTTCCATTTGGTTTTCCCTTATCAAAGGGCAAGGTGCTTGTAAATTAAGTGCTAACACTGCTGCCCAAGATAGACTTCCATTTCCTGTTGTAAATGCGTAACCAAATGTTTATATTTGTATGTGGAATCAACACACACACACACACACACACACACATACACACACACACACTCGCACATGAATGCTGTGGCTTACTTTAAATTACTAGTTTAATGTTGGCCTCACAAGTGTATAACCAGGGAGTGCCAAGCTGGAAATCTGCCTCAGTTATAGAAATGGGATGATTACAACACTGCAGAATGTGTTGAGTCCTCAGAGTCAAATGACACTTCTTTAATTTGAGAACCAATTAAAAAAGTTGGTTTGGACTGTCTTCCAGAAATCTTAAATTCCATACATAATTAAGCAGGGCAAATACTCTTTAAAAAACTGATTTTAAGTCACATGCATTGCCAAAGAGTAGAGCTGGAAATAGATAGTTGGTGTTTATGTGTTTCATTAAGAGTCTGCTGTGAATATTTGCCATAAAAATACAACTAAATCTTTAAAAAAACTAGGGCCCTAATTTGGTCCCTTCTTCAGTCTAAGGATTGAACAGGGCAGAAGTGCTGTTTATTACAATGCTTCTACAATGTATTCTAGTTTCACAGTCTAGACTGGCACTAAAGCGGAGTGGTAAATTTGTTTGTGATACAAATTGTTTAAACTAGTATGTAAGTAAACTTTTAATAGACTTCACTAAATTTATAGCCTGTGTATATCTGTGATATTTCACTTCAACAGAAATTAAGTGCCTACTTTTGACAAGGTACTGTGCTAGGGGCTGAGGATACAAGGAAGGATCACACACACACACACACACACACACACCCCTTGCAAAAAGATCTTTGATTTCATGAGTGCAGGGAACTCCCTTCTCCAATGAAGATCCCAAATGGTCTATGGTTTAGTAAGTTAAATCCTAACACATATAATTATAGAGATTAAATTACTTGTTCAGAGTCACAAAACTTATAAAATCAGAAGCCAGAGTGGAACCCAGGTTTTTTTGACCCCATGTTCATCTTTCTGTCCTCTATTCCATGCTAGTGGTCAGGCAGGGATGGGAAGAAAGAATATATGAAAGAAAGGAAAGTGCTTTTTTCCCTCAAAATGATCATAGAAAAGTTGGCATTTAACATAGCTATTGACTGGTTTAAGCTTTAACCATCTTAGTGGTTTTAATTTCCACTCTACCTTATCTTTTTTGCTAGTTCTCATATTTCTACTTTGGCCTCTGAGGTTCATTGGGTTCCCTTAATTAGTTCCTTCCTAAGAGGTTTGTTTTTTCCCCTCAAATTATATCTCATATAGATTCTTATTGTAAGTCTGAAATCCATTAAAGTTCTGAAATATCTGAGCAGGCTTTATAGCCATAGCTCACACAGCCTCTCTGTGAAGGAATTAAAATGTTTTATATGGAAGAGAGATTAGACTTGTACTTGAATCCAGAAGGCAGATATGGGACCAATGGGGTTAAATTTTAGAAAGATAAATTTTAGCTCAATGTCAAGATAACTTCCCAGTAATTATAGTTGTTCCAACATGGAATTGGTTGTCATGGGAAACAATGAGTTCCCCTTCATTGATAATTTGCAAAGACAGATGAGGTGATCATCAGAAATATTGTAGAGAGGATTCAGGCTACAGCTGGGGGTTAGACTAGGTGACCTCTGTGGTTCTTTTCAACCTCAAGGTTCTATGATTCTAAATATTAAAATCCTCAGAGAAAATGGCATATTAGAGCAGTAAGGAGCCTTAGAAATTACCTAAGATGATTTACAGATGAGAAAATAAAGCTTCTTAAAGTAGTGAAAATTGTCATGAAAATCAGTGGTTTTGCCTAGTAACAATGCTTTCTGATCTCACTTGAGAAGTTACCTACTTTGGTTCTGAAACTTGACGACTCAGTTATGTAAATATCTTATTTTATCTCCCCTCTCCCATGTGCAAGTGGGTGAGCACCTGCATGTGGCGCCCCCCCCCTTTTTCTTGTAATCTCCTTGAAGGCAGGAATTAAGACATAGCTAGCCTATAACTAGTGGCTAGATTCTAGCCTATGTCTACCATACTACCTTGCTCAGAGTAGACACTTAATAACAATTGAACCAAAATGTCATCCTTTACTCCCATAAAGGCTTATATAAGAATAAAACATCTGCACTCTGAGGTCAGGGACAGTTTCATTTTTGTCTTTTAATCTCCATTGCCCAGTATGGTACCTTTGTGCACCATAGGCACTTACTAAACGTTTGTTGTTGTATTGAACAGAATTGAATAGTTTTATGTTGGATCATAATACATTAAAGCTTAACACTGGCTTAAGACTTGGTACATCCTGTACTTTGGTGCTTCAGTGCATTCCTATATTTCAACATTTATTCAATAAATATTTATTAAATATCTACTATAAAATTCTGTGATTCTAAATGTAATTGTACTATTAGAATAGTACTAGAGTGGTGGAAAATGATTTGCTCAATCAATCAACAGATATTTTTCAAGCTCCTATGTCAGGCATTATGCTAGGTTCTGGAAATACAAAGACAAAAATAAAACTGGCCCTGCCTTCAAGGAACTCATATTCTTTGAGGGGACATAACAACTCCTTAAGGGCAAGGACTGTCTTTTGCCGCTTTGTATATCCCCAGTGCTTATAACAGTTCCTGCAATGTAGTAGGAACTTAATAAATGTGTATTGATTGATTAATATAAGTATATACCAAATAAATATGATGTAAATTGGTAGATTGCCACGAATAGCTGAGGATGGGGAGGGGTCAGGAAAGGGTTCATTCAGGGAGTGGCATATGAACTGAGATTTGAAGGAAGCAAGGAGTTCCAGGTTGTGGAGATGAGAAAGGAGGCCACTGTAGGATTGAAGAAAAACCCGCGTAAGCAGAAGGATATTGGAGATGGAATGTCATGTATGATATGGGAGATAGAATAGCAAGAAGTCCAGTTTGGTGAGACTACAGAGTGAATGAAGGGTAGGAATGTGTAATCGGGCTGAAAAAGTAAGTTGGAGTCAGATTGAAAAGAGCTTTACAAGTCAGACAGAGTAGTTTGTATTTGATCCCTGGAGACCTTAGGAAGCTGTTTTTGTTTGTTGCGTAGGGAAGTGGCATAGCCAGATGTGTTCTTGAAGGGATATATCACTTGGCAGATACATGGAAGACAGATTAGAGAGGGGAGAGATTTGAAACAAGAACACCAAGTAAGAGAGAATTGCAACAGTCCAAACAAGAGACAGTCGGGACCTCAGGTGGTGGCCACGTAAGTGAAGAGAACGAAACGGATGGAAAAAAGATTGGAGATCAAACTGACAAAACTTTGAACAACTGATTGGGTGTGTACAATCAGTAAGAGTGAGTAGAGGATGACTTCAGTTATGAAGCGAAGGATTGCGTGTGTCTTTTACAGAAATCTGGGAATTTGGAAGAGGTTGGATTTTGAGGGGAAAGCTAATGATTTCCGTTTTGGATGAGCTGAGTTTGAGATGCCTAGTGAACATTTAATTCACAACGTCCAATAGGTGGTCCAGACAGGAGCTGAAGAAAGAGACGCACATTTCATTTTAGGAATTCCAAGCACATTATATTTACAATGAAGCCTTGATTAACTAGTACTCTCAAATATTCATAGTTTAACCATTTTATATCCACAGAACTATACAAAGACAATAATTGTGTTAATTATTCCTCAGAGGCACTATCAAATCCCCAAAGACAGTTTAAACAATGCTCACCATGTTGTACCCACAAAGGCTGAAAAGTAAACCAATTAATCAGAGCACCCATTTTTTCAGCACTTGGATTAATCAGGGCTTTACTACCTTTCATTCATCCTGTAAGGCAGATAAATGCCCCATACTTTTTATTTACACTTGACAGACAGGAAAAATGAAAGATACAATGATAGCAGGGGAAGAGGACATGACTGTACCAACACAGACATCAAATTACTTTTCTAGTCACTAAAACTCCTTTCCTTGCTTTGGTTGTTACAGTATAAAACATTGTAAAAATAAGTGTATTCAATTATCCCTGGATTACTACTTTGAAGTACCATTTGGTAAATTCCAGAAACAAATTTCTATTTACTATTACTGTTCTGTCAGCAGGAAAGAAAGGAATGGTGTAAAGGTCAGACATTTGAATAATGAATATTGAATAAAGAAAGGCTTTAGATTTAAGGAACGGAAATCTGTAAAGTTGTAGTTATAAAGCCTGAGATTTAGAACTGAAAGGGACTTTAGTACAATCTCCTCATTTTACAAATGCCAAAGCTCCAAGTGGTTAAGTGACTTGCTCAAGGCCACACAGGTAGCAGGTGGCAGAGTTTGGATTTAAACCAAGGTCCTCTAGTATGCTTTTCACAACATTGCAGGGCTTATCCTTTAGATAAAGAAAGAACTGCCAAATCTCTTTGGCTAAGTGGAAAATGGAAAATGGGCCTTCAATGACGATGTAGTCCCTTCAGCTTAAAAAGCAGGCAAAAGAATTTCAAGTCCTGCAAAACAGCACTAGAAAGATCTTCTAGGTTAAAAATAATCTGTCCCCTAAAAAGAAAGGAATTATTATAACGAGCATCTCAATGAAGAACTATTTTGTAAAAACTGTCGAGGAATTTATGAAAGCACCATCTTAAGGTAGTGACCGAAACTGAATGGGAAAAAGGCTTGGCATTTCAGACAGGCACGCCCTGCATACAACATTTACAGTAGAGACCAGCTTATTGTACTAGATTCCAGTTTGTTGAGTTATCCAGTCACGATAGGAGGGCACATAAGTATAGACTCCAGGTTTGTCTGGCAGGCCACATTCATATCCCCAGCTCACTATTCCCCAAACCGACCAGATCTGCCTTGAGTCAGCCATCGATAATGGTCCACCAGAATCTCCCTGAAAGAAAACCAACATTTGTGATTAAGTATCATGATTTTACCCTAAATTGCAAGGAACTCTACATGTGTTTATATTGTTTGTTTCAGTACTAGCAGAGGATGGACTATCATTAGAAGAATGAATCAAAGAGCAGGTATAGGATTTTATATTGTAGTATGATTTAGGTAGTCTTATGCTGTCATTGTTGAAACTTACCATGTAATGAAGAGTCTAGAAATGTTGATTTCTCTACTACAAGTCTCATAGTTAGATAGGACTTTAGAGGTTATCTAATATAATTCTCTTATTTTATTTTATTATTTCATTTATTTTTATCATCATAGGATCACTGGCTTCTTTCAAGACCCAACTCAAACATTATCTTCTGCCAAAAGCCTGGGGTTACCTGGTGGTAACCTCCCCCCACCCCACCCCATCCCACCCAGGTTACATTATATTTATTCTATATGTACCTTCTGTCAATCCTCTTTGGGTTCATGTTTCCTTCATTAGAATCTAAGCTGTTCAAGATCAGGAAATGTTTTTGCTTTCTCTTTGTGTCTCCAATTCTGACCATAATACCTCACATATACTAAGTAACTTAGTAAATGCTTGTTGCTTCATTATCATTGTCATCATCATTATCATCATCATCATCAATCTTATTCCTATCTTTTAAAAATGGAATTCAGAGAGAAAAATAGTATGAAGATATTACTATTCTGTCAATCCTTTTAATGTAATATTGTGAAGACTATTGAGTAGGTGAATACATGTCAGCTTTTTGTTACTGAATACGAGTATTGGCATTTAAGTCCATCAGCTGTAGATTCACAGAAAGCATCTTTGAGACTACTCCAATGGCAGACAGGACAACAGGAATGACACACCTCTTGACCTATTCTTCTACTAAGTCTCTCTATTTTAAAAGCTTTACTATAACAGACAGGACAACAGGGATGACACACATCCAGACTGGTTCCAACATGGTATAATCCCTTTTGCTAAGTCTCTCCATCTTAAAAGCTTTTTTTTAATAGTTTGATGACTGAGTAGTTGGTATAGCAATATATATTAAAAATATTCTTAAATTTTTTTCAATGTGTCCAAGCAGTTGTGGGCAACACTTCAGTCTTTAATGATGCGCCAGTTGCAGTACAATTTGTTTGTTGAATTCTCAAGAATATTTTGATATTTGTATTTGTGACATGCAAATTTGCTGCCTGTGGTTTATGAAGTATGGTGAAGTTCTTTTATATAATTCTAGCTATGTGATAGTTTCAGCTGAATGATGAGATTGGAAACCAGGTGCAAAATATTTAAAAGAGAGTGAAGAGAAGTAGTAGCACCAAGTATAAATGCCTTTTTCAAGGAGTTAGAGATATAGAACAGTAACTAACTAAAGCAATAGCTAGTGAGGCTTTTTTTCCCCCTTAGGATGAAGGATGCTTGGGCTTGTTCATAGATAGTAGAGAAGGAGCCGGTAGATATGAAGAAACAGAAGATTAGAGTAGACAGGTGGGATAGGGCAATCAGCTGGAAAAAAACAAAAGGGGATGGGGGCAAGGGTACATACAGAGTTGTTGGTTTAGTACAGAGTACATAATGTTATCAAAAGAGAAAATGTATATTAAATGCATTGCAAATTTTAAAGTATTTTATGTTACTTAGTATTATGACTTGCAATTTCTCTGGATACATTAATTTTGTTTGTATAATAGCCTTTTCATTTTATATGATATAAATTATGCTTTATCTTGCATCACTTCTATTCCTTGCTTGATTAATAGTTTTCCCTAATCATAATTTAAAAAGTTTTTTCTTCCTTTCTTCCTTCTTTTCTTTCTTTCTTCCTTCCTTTCTTTCTTTCTTTCTTTCTTTCTTTCTTTCTTTCTTTCTTTCTTTCTTTCTTTCTTGTCATGGACATACTCCCTTGGTAGTCTGGTGAAGCCTCTGGACCCCTTCTCAGAAAAATGTTTTTACATGCATAAAATAAAATGGAGGATTATGAAGAATATCCATTATACAGAAATAAAAAAAAGTATATATATATATGTATATATATGTGTATATGTACATATATATATATGTCCCGCCAATCTAAGTTCAAAGATCCCTTGAAGTCTGTCCATGGATCTCAGGTTAATAACTCCTGCTCTGATAATAATAATAACTAGCATTTATGTAGCTTTAAGGGCCTTACAATTCTTATCTATGGGAATCCCTAGTACCCAAAGGCAGATATCCCATATAAGAAGACAAAGAAAGGAATAGTTGGGGTGGAGGGGTCATATCCTGAATAGAGGTACACACACAATATTTGGATAACACCGGCTTCCTATATGGGCCACTGGCAGTGCAGAAGATGTGCTAGGGTAGCAACATTGAAAAGATCACAAAAGATTCCACATTTGAGTCTCTAAAGCCCCCTATGCAAGGTGGAGCTACAGCTGGTCCCATGGGCATCAATACAAATGTCTCATCTGCATGGACATCCTTAAAATGCTTCTACAATATACTGTGAGGAGAGTTGGCTCTAACCAGGTGGTAACCCTCCCTATGCCAGCTCACCCATCACCCACCCACCTAGACAGATAGAATACATTTATACACAGACCCCTGAACATAGTCCCCCATATACAAAAGCTTCTGAAGCCAGAGCCATCTAATCTCTTCCCTGTCATCCCCCTGTCCCACCTGACCAAGCTCAGATTCAAACTGTAACTGGAGAGAGATGGCCTGGCCATCTCTGTTACTCCTCCCCTCCTACTGGGAAGGACCCAATGGATTATTGGTGCTGAGCAGACACACAAAGATGGACCTGTAGACACACAGCCAGATCAAGCACATGTGACGCAGATCCTGTATATATATAACTTTGTTGTAGTTGGGACAGATCTTCCTTTCCCCACCCTCTAGCTGTTATATAATTTCTTCTCTCCTAAAGGAGACAGGAAGTGGAAAATCCTACCACTGCTTTACACCCTTCTTTCAGTCCCCTATGTTTGCCAGTGGTGGTTTTATGTTTAATGGTTTATTGTTTTTCATTTGGTCCTGGGGCTTGAGGGTAGTATCTGTCTCTGCTTTAGGGCTCTTTGGTACCAAAGGATGGAGGCTCACTTGGTCACTGCTCAGTCACAGAGACCAGGACTGCTGATAAGGAAGGAAGGAATAGGAGTTCCTTATAGGGGAGTGGGGATGGGGAGGGGCTGTGCCCTTCCCTATTCCTGTATAGCACCTAGTTAAAATAGTGGTCCCTGTCCCAGGCCTTCTTGATTCTGTGTCTGTATGTTTCCTACAGAGGTATTTGTCCTATTTTTTAGACTACATTTGACATGAAATAAACCAGGTTACACTCTTAACCTGCTCCCCCCCCCAAAAAACAAAAAAATCCCCCCAAAAAACCCAGAACAAATTGACACGATCCAGTAATGACTACTTGGGTTTGATCTATTTGGTCTATTTGATCTAATAACTATTTGGGTTTGATCATTCCACTAATTCTAATTCTAATTATTATTAACCAGTACATATCTCTTTCTTATCCAAAAGCATAGCCTAAGAAACTTTGTTCAATGCTTCGCTGAAATCTAAGTATATTATGTCTACAGTGTTCCTCTGACCTCCCAGCCTAATTTCCCTGCCAGAAAAGGAAAGGAGGTTAGTCTGACATGTGGCATCTGAAATACCTATGTATCAGATGTCTAGTTTGAAATATCTAATAGACAGTTGGACACATACATCTGGAGTTTGGGAGGGAGTTTGCATATCTTATCACTCTGACTTTTGTGGAAGCCTATGTCATTCAAACAATTATACTTAGTAAGATATATTTCCATTTTTAAATTAAACCATTATTAATTAAAATTCATCCATTTTTAAAAGATCAAGAAGAAGATAATTAATACCATCCTTACCTATTTCACAATTACTCTGATACCATCTCAACTTATTTTTTCTGTGACCTATTGGGTAAAAATAGCTCTCTCTCTCTGTCTCTCTCTCTCTCTCTGTCTCTCTCTCTCTCTCTCTCTGTCTCTCTCTCTTTCTCACTGTCTCTCTGTCCCATAAATTCTGAGAGGGCAGGAATAACTTCAGAGCAATTTATTTGTACCATTAGTACTATGCCACATATAGCTACATGCACAATTTTGCTACTCAGGACCTACCTGACAAGCATCAGTGCCACCTCCAGGTGTTCCAGCACATATCATGCCAGATGTGACAAGTCCATTATAGCTCTCTGGCGCATTACAGTCATCATTGCTTATGATCTGGACCATACCTTGCCGAAGAACATTTACGCTTGTACCTATAGATTACAATGGAGAGGAAGACAAAAATAGTGAGAATTTGGAATTTACAAATTGGATTCTCTACAATCACAAATATGATTTAATGAATAATGAATGCAATTTTCCCAGTCTCTATCGAAAATCCTCTTCTGTATAGTATCACAGGGAAGGCATTGATAAAACATTCATATGAAAGAGATGCTCCCACAGTCTCCCAACAGCAATAGCATGGGATAGAAGGTATTGATTTCAGGAGATCTACTATTACTACTATTACTACTACCACCACCACCACCACCACCACAACCATTCAGTGGAACTTGAATATGTGATATTATTTCTTCTTCTTCTTCTTTTTTTTTTTTGATTAGACTTGCCCAGGGTCACACAGCTAGTAAGTGTTATGTGTCTGAGGTCAGATTTGAACTCAAGTCCTCCTGAATCCAGGGCTGATGCTCTATCCACTGCACCATGTAGCTGCCCCTATATGTGATATTATTTCTAAAAACACATATAATGCATACGCAGTATTTATTAAATGTTTGTTAGGGAGGACATTTCATATGTGTCAAGATTCTTGTATTCAATTCATTTATACAGAATGCATACACAGTGACTTTTAATGCTTCTAAAAAGGCTGAGGATGTATGTGGGTGTGATTGAAGATGCTTTTTTTCCCCCCAAAGAACTCTCTGAGACATTTTATAGTAGTATCCACTTTGCAGGTAAACGGCACAGTGGATAGAATCATCTTCCTGAGTTCAAATCCAGCTTCAGACACTTATTAACTGTGTGACCCTGGGCAAGTCACTTAACTCTGTTTACCTCAGTTCCTCTGTAAAATGAACTAGAGAAGGGAATGGCAAACCATGACAGTATCTTTGCCAAGAAAACTCCAAATGGGGTCACAAAGAGTCGGACATGATTAAAAGACTGAAAAACAACAACAACAACCTCTTTACAAAGATTCAATTTGATTCATTTTGACAAACATTTATCTCACTTAAAATGTTCAAGGCACTGTTCGAGGTGATAAGGATAGAAAGACAAAGACAAAAGAACTCTGTCCTCATTAAGAATTTTGTGGTTTTGCCAGGAGCTTTACAATCCAATGTCTTTGGGAAAAGGCAGTGAATTTGCTATTTTAAAATAGACCCTCACTGTCTACTTAGGTGGATGCTGTATTACATAATGCACATAAACATACATACAGCATAATACATATGTGCACACATACATACATGTGTGCATGTGTGTGCAGAGGGCAGAACTTGGAAAAATGGATGTGGCAGTGGGGCAGATTTCCACTCATGTAGTGAAACATTTCCTAGCAACTACAGCTGTTTTGAGGTATCAGGTATCAGAGATTGCCTCCAGAAGTAGTAAGTTCCCCAACATGGGAGATTTTCAAGGGAAGTTTCCTATTTATGTTTAAACTAGGTGATTCTTAACTCCCAGTATCTACCTTTATTTTAGCTTTCTCTCTTTTGCCTTAGCCTCACTTAATTAATTAATTAATTAATTCAATAGGCATTTTAGGGGTGCTATTTGCTTAGTTCTATAACCAGTTATAGGAAACACAAAAATAAGCAAAAGAGTTGCTTTCTGCCTCTAAGGCAGAATGTACATATATGGAACATTTAGAGAATAATTGATATGTAACATTATTCTGTAGAGGATTTAAAAATAATAATAATGTGCTAATTGCTTCACAATTATTATCTCATTTGATCCTCACAATAATCCTACGAGGTAGGTGCTGTTATCTCAGTTTTACAGATGAAGAAACTGAGGCAAATGGAGCTCACATGGCTAGGAAGTACCTGAGACTGAATTTAAACTCAGGTCTTCTTGATGCTAGGCCCAGGGCTCCCGTACCTCCTAGCTGCCATAATATGAGGAGGTTGATGTGGTGAAAAGAGTCCTATATGATATTAAATTAATTATGTAATCTCTCTGGGCCTCAGTTTCTTTATCTATAAAATGAAGATGTTGGACTGGATGATCTCTAAGGTTTAGATCTACAAACCTGTGAGATATCTTAACCTACACTCCTGTCCTCCTTTTTTTTTTTCCTTAATCTTTCTCTTTTGCCTATGCCTCAGAACTGTTGATAACTTCTAGGGCCATTACTTTGTCCTCCAAATAGAATGCAGGGCTAATGAAACAAGGGCTGGTTGCATAGTATAATGGAATGAGTGTTGGAGTTGGAGTTAGGAGACACGAGTTTGAATTCTACCTCTAAAATTTATTGGCTGTGTGATTATGGCTAAGTCACTTAACCCCTCACAGCCATAGTTTCCTAGTCCTCATTGAAATGAGGTTATTAATGCTTTTAGTACCTACCTCAAATGGTTGTTGTAAGGATCAAATGAGATGGGACTATGTGAGTCTTATTTATTATTATAGACTGTCATATTTATTACAGACATAAGCTTCTGAGAATTCTGGGCTTGAGAATTTGGCCTTCAAATCATTATAGGGACAGAGGACTTGGGGATAGGAAGGACCTTAGAGGTCACTTACTCCAAAGCCCTCCTTTTACATATGAGGAAAGGGACGCCCAATGAGGTGAAGTGATTTGCCCCAAACTAAGCTAGAATCTGAAAAAAAAATATATTTTTTCCCCCTCTAAATCCAGTGTTCTTTCCAATATGCCATGCCATACTGCTTCCTTTAATACCTGCTTCCATATCCCTATGGGCCTTAAATGTTAAATGAAATTAAGGCAAGTTTTTCCTGAGACACTCACCACCAGGTTGAAGTGATCCCCATCCTGTCACATAAACAGTGGCTCCTACAGGGATGTTCTGATTGGCCTGTGGGAGACAGATTCTATGGATGTTTCTGTTAAAGGTGACTCCACTAGTGAGCTCTACAAGTGCAATGTCATTTTCATGAGTTTCTGATATATAATTAGGATGTATTATAATCCTCATCACATTTGCTCTTTTTTCTGGAGAATTTAGGAGATATCCAAAGGTAACAGTCCATTGGCGTGGATCACGGACACTAGAAAAAAGATGGAAATGTATGCAGTTAAAATATTCTTGGATCAAAAGCATAAAATATGGAGTTTGTAGGTGTGTCTCTCACGAGGGCTTCAGATTTCTGGGCTTGTGTTTTTTTTTTTCTTTGCAGCTAAAAACTATTTACCAATACCTTTAGACTGCATGTTATATGTTTCACAATCATTTAGTAGAACTAGATAGGTTATAAGGAATTCCTTCCTAAGGAGAATTGCTTACCAAGGAAAGCTCAGGTCAATGACTTTAGAAGAAATATTTGGAGCTATTGATGATCCTGGGCGTTTTTGGTGCTATGTTATAATTCCCGGCTAAAATCATAATGAACTCCAATGACAGGTAGCCAAGTAACTCACATTTACATAATGAGTTTAAGATTTGCAAATGGATTTACATATGTTATCTTATTTTATCTTCACAACAATCTTTTAAAGTAGATGATATTATCATCCCTACTTTACTGATGAGTAAAATTAGGCTTAGAGAGGTTGTGACCTGTCCAGGGTCACAGAGTTAAGGCATGTCTAAGGTCTTCCTGACTCCAAATCCATTGTTCTGACTTCTAAGCCAAGAGTTAATTTTACATCATGGACATTTCAAAAGGGGGTGAAGCCTATGGATCCCTTGTCAAAATAATGTTTTTTAAATCATAAATGAAAATCTGTAGAATTATGAAAGAGATCAATTGCATTGAAATAAAGATGCCTTTTCCCCCTTCACAAATTCACATATACTTTGAAATCTATCTATATCTATGGATCTCAGGTAAAGAATCTTTGCACTATGGCATGCTGTCTCTTAAGTATTGTTTGGTAAGGGATAGAAACTGGATCTGTGATTTTTCTTGGTATAGGAAACTCCCAGGTGAAGAGACTCCCCCTTCTAATGGGCATGATAAAAGACAAAAATGGTAGGGACTTAACAGAAGCAGAAGAGATTAAGAAGAGGAGGCAAGAATGCACAAAAGAACTATACAAGAAAGATCTTAACATTGCCAAAAACCACAATCCTCTGGTTACAGATCTAAAGCCAGATATCAAAGGGGCCTTAGGAAGTGTTGCTAACAGTAAGGCTAGTGGAGATGATGGAATTCCTTCCAGCTGGACTATTTGAAATCTTAAAAGATGATGCTATTAAAGTGCTTCACTCAGTATGCCAGCAAAACTCTACAGTGGCCACTGGATTGGGAAAGATCAGTTTATGTCTCAATCCTAAAGAAGGGCAATACCAAGGAATGTTCAGATTACTGAACAATTGTGCTCATGTCACATGCCAGTAAGATTATGTTAAAATTCTACAAGCTAGGCTTCAGCATTATGTGAAACAAGAATTATCAGAAGAACAAGCTGGTTTTCAAAGAGGCAAAGGAACCAGACACCAAATTGCCAACATTCACTGGATTATGGGGAAAGCAAGGGAATTCCAGAAAAAAAATCTACTTCTGTTTCATTGGCTGCACTAAAGCTTTTCACTGTGTGGATAACAATAAAATATGGCAAGTCCTTAAAGAGATGGGAGTACTAGATTATCTTGCTTGTCTTCTGAGGAACCTGTGTATAGGCCAAGAAGCAACATGGAACAAATGATTGGTTTAAATTTGGAAAAGGAGTACAACAAGGCTGTGTGTTGTCACCTTATTTATTTAACTTGTATGCAGAGTACATCTTCTGAGATGCCAGGCTAGATGAATCAAAAGCCAGAATTAAGGTTGCCAGGAGAAATACCAATAATCTCAGATATGCAGATGATACCACTCTGATGGCAGAAAGTGAAGAGGAATTAAGAAGCCTTTCAGTGAGGGTGAAAGAAGAGAGTGTAAAAGCCGGCTTCAAGCTTAACATAAAACAAAACAAAACAAAATAAAACTAAGATCTTGGCAACTGGTCTCATCACTTCCTGGCAAACAGGGGGAGCCGAAGTGCAATCAGTGTAAGATCACTGCAGATGATGACTGTAGCCATGCAATTAAAAGATGTTTGCTACTTGGAAAGGAAGCTATGGCAAATCTGGGCAGCATACTAAAAAGCAGAGACATCTCTTTGCCAATGAAGATCCACATAGTCAAAGCTATGGTTTTTCCAGTAGCAATGTATGGTTTGGGGAGTTGGACTATAAGAAAAACTGAGCACTGAAGAAGTGATGCTTTTAAATTGTGGTGCTGGAGAAGACTTTTGAGAATCCTTTGGACATCAAGGAGATCAAATCAGTAAACACTTGAAGAAATTAGTTCAAGCTATTCACAAGAAGGTCAGATTCTGAAGCTGAAGCTTAAAAAATGAGATGGGACTCATTGGAAAAGACCCTGATGTTGGAAAAATTAAAGGCAAAAGGGAAGGAGAATGGCTGAGGAGGAGATGAATAGATAGCATCATAGAAACAACAAGCATGAATTTGGACAGACTTTGAGAGATAGCGGAGGATAGAAGGGCCTAGTATGTTATGGTCCATGGGGTCATGAAGAGTCAGACATGACTGAATGGCTAAACAACAACAAAGTTTTTAAGGAGATGTTCTACTAGCTCCAGGGGTGGGGAGGTGAATAGAAGGCAGGATTCAGAGAAGATTCCAAAATTTCAAAAATAGAATCCTATGTGATTTGGTACTTGGTGACACAGCATGCTTGTTTAATGTGGTTGTTTCCATGGAGATTACAATTTTTAAACTCAGCCATCTTAATCAAATAGGAGCATCTTAAATTGAAGTTCCTTTACCATTGATGGAAAATGTGAAAGTGCTAAAAGTCTGCACTAGTAGGGCATTTTCAGCTTTGAATTCTAGATTCACAGGGATAAATGAAATTATCAGGAGTAATTTCTGCTTTTGCTCCTTTCTAGTGGAATACTAGGTTTGGCAGGGTCTTGCCTACTTATTCCTCATATTTTGGACTTAACACTGGAGGGCACTGACACAAATCAGAAGCATACCTTTAGGTATATCTGGTTAGTATTAATTCAATATCAAATAAATGAATTGGGAACACTGTTGCACAGTATAATCTAGACCAGACCTACACAACCTACGGGCGGGCCATCCAAGGTTTTTAGGCAGCCCACAAAAAATGTGAAGGAAAACATCCTCTACATTTTTTGCAGGCCACCCAAAATCCTTTGGCCTGCTGCAAGTGATCTGCGGGCTGCAGGTTGTGCAGGCCTGATATAGACATATAGTGGAATCTAGAATATCTTTAGATCTGTCTACATTTTTGTAATTGCATAAAATTTATACTATTCCTAGTCCCACCACCATCTGTCTGTCTCTCTCAATCTGTCTGTCTTTATCCCTCTCTCTCATTGTAATCTCTGTGGAAAACTTGCCCTTTAAAATTTAGGTCACGTAGCTAGGTCTAGGTTACCCAAGTCTAGGATGTGTGAATCTTAGAATTAAATAGCAATGAAAGAGAGCTTTGTTATCTTTAACTGTATGTTAGGTTAACTTTACTTTTGTGGTAAGTAACATAGTCTCTTCCTTGTATTCATAGTCATGAGATAGCACAACTCATTTCCCACAAGAAACAGCCCTCAACCAACTCAGTCTAGAATCTCCCAGAAACAATGGCAATCATCAGGTTGGCAGAGATCAGCAGCTTCTGGCAGCAAGGGTATTCCTGGTTTTCAAATCCTATGAAAAACTAGCATGAGGAACAAGAGGCTGTTCTCATTCAGTTTTTTGAGTTCCTATATGTTCCGTCCGATAGGGGGCCCTAAATCACATATTCCTTGTCGTTGCTGCCTTATTTCCACCTTATTGGCTATCAACTTACCTTCTGAAGCAGTGAGCAGCAGTCAGAAGCCATGTGTTGCTAATTAGGGTAGCTCCACAGTGGTGAACACTGTTGAGCCGAAGGCTTGCTTGCCACGGCCAGTCTCCCGCTTTGGCTTGTGTTCCTGCTATGATTCTTTCAAAGGCCAGTGTCATCAGTTCAGGGCTGGACCCACATTCTGATAGGAAAAGGAGTCATTAGCCTCAGGGAATGTTCTGGGAAGAGTAATATTCATTTCTGTTTCACAGATACTTTATGGGACTTTATATCTCTCTATCTGTTCCTTCTCTTTGTGACTCCATAAGTAAAGAAATATCTAAGAGCCTGTAAAACATGTAGTTACCCTAGTCTCCCAGTGGGAACCTCTGAATTATAGGTGACAGTAAGTAAGATTGGGAATTAACATAAATTTAATTTAGATTTCATTCTAACTATCCACAGTGGGACAGCTGAGTGGGGCAGGAGATAGAGGGCCAGGCCTGAGGTCATGAAGACTCATTTTCCTGAGTTCAAATCTGGCTTCAGACACTTAATAGATGTATGACCCCTAGGTAAGCCACTTAACCCTGTTTGCCTAAGTTTCTCATCTGTAAAATGAGCTAGAGAAGAAAATGGCAAACCTATTTCCCACAGCTGTTGTAAGGATCAAATGAGATAACATCTGTACAGCACTTTATGTAGTGCCTGGCACGTGGTCGGTACTTAATAATGCTTCCTTCCTTCTTTCCTCTCACTCATATATCTCTTTAAGGACATCTTCAACACTACTTTTATTACACAATTCTTTATTCATAATTCTTTCTCAAGAAAACCTCAGATGGGGTCATGAGGAGTCAGACATGGCTGAAACGACTGAACAGGGTGAAGAATGCTTATTGTCTAAACAATGCTGTGCTGTGCCATCTGTATATACGTTATTGACGAGAGTGAACTCATACCAGCATTATATAAAAAGAGGAGAGCAGGCTTTGTTATTTTTGGGGAATTGCATGGTGCTTTCACTGGCCCCAGATTCCTCCCTGAAATGAAGGCTCATTTGGAAAAAAAAAAAGCAAAGCAAAGCAAAACAAAACAAAACAGTACCGTTCTTCTAGTGATACTGCATGGTTGCAAAGCATGGAATTCCAGGCTCCAAAGGCTTAAAGTTGGAGTTCATCTATAAGACAATGGAGAAATGTAAGGCAGGTATAAGTAGCCTGGAGCCCATTATGAATAAAGAATTGTGTAATAAAAGTAGTGTTGAAGATGTCCTTAAAGAGATATATGAGTGAGAGGAAAGAAGGAAGGAAGCATTATTAAGTACCGACCATGTGCCAGGCACTACATAAAGTGCTGTACAGATGTTATCTCATTTGATCCTTACAACAGCTGTGGGAAATCGGTGCTATTATCCTTATCTTACAATTGAAGAAATTGAGGGAGACAGAGATTAGATCACTTGCCCAGGATCACATACTAAGGCACTAGAAATAACAGCATAAGTGTCTAAGCCTGGATTTGAACCGAGGTCTTCTTGATTCTAGGCCCAGTGCCCTATTTACTGCATCACCTAGCTTTCTCTGTAGGTAGGCCAGTCCTATGGCAGGAGTGAAAGATATAATAGATATCTATAGATACAGTGAAAGATATATAGATATCTATAGATAGCTCATGTTTTCCATTGGTACCCTCATAATATCAAAAATCTGGAGGGAGGCCCAAGCACATTGGTTGTCCTCTACCCACAGAAGTGTTAGGGGAGGACATAGAAAAACATCTCATAGGATGAGAAGGTATTAGTTGGTTGCAATCTGCATCATCAGAGGGAATGACCACACTAAGATAATAAAGAGCATCATCATCATCATCATCATCATTTCATCACTAGCATTTGTGGAGAGCTTTAAGGTTCACAAAACACTTTATAAACATTTCATTTTGTCCTCAACAATCCTGGAAAGTAAGAGCTATTATTATTCTCATTTGATAGATGAGGAAATTGAAGCAGACAGAGGTTAAATTACTTGCTCAGATCACAGGGCTACAAAATGTTCTAGGCAGGATTTGAACTCAAGTCTTCCTGACTTCAAGTCCAATGCTCCATCTATTACACCACCTAGTTGCCCCATAATCTTTATTGAAGTATCAAAATATCGATGTATTAAAGTCCCCATTTATGTTGTAAAAGTGACTCTGGGGTCTTGAAGATTATGCCAGAAGAATGTAATCTTCTGTCTAGCTTTACCAGCCTAAAGCTGGAAAGACATCATCCTTTCTGTCTGTTGACTGAGTACCAGCATAGCTAAGTAGGCTTATCACTAAAGGTTTGGTCTTCATATAATGATTTTGGGGCCATAGAATCCCCTGAAGACTAATTACTAAAATGTGGAAATTGGTTAGGAGCTACATGGAGAGAGGGTATACCCATGGTGATAAAGCCTCAGGACATTAAAGTATTGAAGTATCATATATATTGTGATTAGCTACAAGCTACCAAAAAAAAAAAAGCTACTCTGGGTAGTAAGAGAAACTATAGAAAAAGTGTCAGTAAATATCAAAATATCATTTAGGCCCACCCATATAGAGAGTCATAGAGTTAGATTAAAATGCAGGTGGGAAGACCTTTGCAAAGTATATTGGACAAATCTCTCTATCTATTGTTAATTATACAACTTCCATTCTTTATATTTGGTTAAATCTCTTCAAGCAAATAGCTTTTTTTTAGACTTACCTCTGATTAAAATATCTTGTGCAGTCTCGGCAGGAATAGCTGATATAAAAAGAAAAAAAGAAGTTAAACAAATAAACAAGGCTTTGACACTTTCACAGAGTTCTGCTTACTTTTTTTCTTTTAAACAGACTCTGCAGGGTCATGCCAATGATTATCGTTGGGGTGTAACAAATAGACTGACTCACAAGTTTGGAAATAATGTGTAGAACATAGTTGATTAAATAAATCAAGTTGGCAGGTGTTTTTCTTCCTATAACATCTAGCTTCTTAATGGATAGGTTGATTTTCAATTCCCTTTGAATTTTAGATTCGCTTGGGGCTTAGGAGAAAGAGATTTCTTTGGGCAGTTCAGGGCCCCTTGGAGACACCTGGTGAGATATCTGCTACCTGTCTGACTAAATGATTTAGAAGTACCCAAAGCTTCATCTCAGTAAAGATGATACCCTTGGGCTTACCTTGGGAAGCTGAGGAAAGTAACTGATTTGGATATGCAGAATTCCACACCAAAATGAAATGTATTTACAAGTCTAAGGATTTTCTCTCTATTTACAAGGCACTGACTGGTAAGGATAGGTGTCATAGACAGTAATTATATTATTGGCCCGTAAATCAACTTTGAAGGGTGCAAATCTTACAATAACTCCCTTAATTTCCTATAAAATAGTACCATAAGCTCTACGATATTTTGCTTTTCTGCTTCAGTTCCTGTTTTCCAGGAATTGGCTTTTCTCCCTTCAACTCTTGCCTTCCCCCTTTTTTGAATATCATTTAGGCAAGCTTAACATACAAGCCTGATGGTCCAGATGATGAGTGTTGGACACGAGCTATGAGGAGCTGGAAGTAACATGAGAGAAGCTTACAGTTGTAAGTCTAGAGGTGTTTATTGAAAGATATGCAGGATCAGGTGTAACTCATCAGCCCCACAGTCCAATCTCGCTAGCCCTGAAATGGTAACTCACGTCAGCTTAGTCAGCATAAACTTTAGCATTCTGAGCTCTGAGGTAAGCTGAGAGATCCGCTGATGTCCATAGTCACACATAAGACACTGCCCGATGTCAACCTGACCTGCTTTCCTTTGTTACTTGCCACTCTAGTAGGTTTACTAGGGCGAGAAGTGCCCACAAGGTTGCACCTGTTAATTCCAATCACTTGTGGCAGTAATGATTGGTGAGTCTCTGAGAAGTCGCTATCCTGAGCTTAGTGTCCCTGTGCTTACTCAGTATGAGGCCTATGTCCACCATGTGCAATGATCCCTAGGAGGACGAATTGTACTAGGCTGCTGTCTTGATTCATACTGGGCAGCTGGATTGGGGCATAAACCAAAAAATGTGTTGTTGTGAATTAACAGAATGTAAGCTCTGCCTAAGAAAGAGAAGCATTGTATATCATGCCATTCTTCGTCCCAGACAGGGGTTGGCCATGGATCATGGGAGCTAGAAGGGACCTCAAAAGCTATCTAGCCCCACCTCTTCCTTTTACAGATGAGGGAACAGATGAAACCCAGAGCTGGGGTAAAACAGTAATGTTTCTCATACACTTATCTCAGAAGTGGATAGAGTAGGAAGTACGTAAGACTATTTCCTGGAAAATATAAAGCTAAACATAAAAACAAAACGTAAGACTTGCAGGATGTGCCTATCCCACAGAGGGGACTGTAAATAAAGTCAGTATAGGATTGGATCTGCCTGAGTAAATTCATAGGCTAATAACTCACTACTCTCCTCTATTAAGGCTTAGGAAAATTTCCCTTAAAATAATGACGAATTTCCAACTCAGAGTCATGGATTCCAAGATATTGTTGCACTGTCATGGGAAGTGGGAAAAAATCTATCGAAACTTTTCTACCCAATCCCTGAGGGAGGGGAAAAAGACTCTTCCCTGAGGGGAAGCTATGGTCTGTATTATTATTCCTCTTGCTGCCTGGGCTTTCCTAGTTGTTATAGATGTTTTTTGTATGTCCCCAGGAATCAGGAATTTGGGGGCCAAGGTAATACATAGCTAGTTGAGGTCCTGGTCCAGGGTTTACACTGAACAGTGCTCACTGCTGATGGAGATGCTAGTTGGGATTTTTTTGTGTCTGTATTCCTGCAACAAATCTTGCTACATTCTATAACTAAGCGTCTGTTGTGTATATATTTTCTGTGATTTGAACTCAAGCACCGATTGTCTTGTCCATTAGACAAAAATAATTAAAAGAATGTTATTAATGAAATAATATTGATATCATTTGGGAATGTTTATTGGTTCCTTGATGCATGATCTGTATAAACAGCAGACTCTTATCTAAATTCTTTGGCATTGAAGGAAATATATCACAAACAGATTAATATTAATTCCATTACTATCATTTATGTTGCTTTAGCCTTTTGAAGTTATTTTTCAAAGCTCCTCTTCAAAAAAACAAACAAAAGTACCATTTTCTGTGAGAATCATCCATTAAATTATAATTAAATTTATGTATAACTTGCTTTTATAGTATATTTTCTGAATAAATTTTGCTATTTGTGATGCTGTATTTCAGAATCACATTTATGTTAGCAGATTATTAAGTCAGCAACATAAATCTTACCAATGATTTTTTTTTTTGGAGGACTGGGTTTGGAGTTATAATGCTATAAATGTAAGTGATGTAAACACTTCTACTGAGAGTAGATAATTGTTTTGAAACTTAAGATCTTTGCAAGTTGGCTGGGTCACTGAGAGACAGTATATCAGAGGCTGAACTTGAACCCAAGGCTTCCTGAATCCCTAAATCTGCTTCTCACCACTAAATTTAATAGGATTTATTTAAAATTAATCAGCATTTATTGAAAGTCAGTCAACTTAGCATTTATTAGTAAATAAAACATCCATTTTAGGGATCTCAGTTTCACCAACTAGAATCCAAAAGACAGACATATTGTGTAATTAAAAACTTACAATATAGAACGTAAAAGGATACTTACATTGAACTTGTTCAGGCAAAATATTGATTGTCATAGTCCCAACATTATTCTGCAACTGATTTAAAATCTGCTCGATCCTATTCTTCATTGATGCCCCATTCGTACCACGTGGGAACTGAAACTTCAGGAGAACAGTTGCTATCACACCTTGATCACCCTGCCTATAAACCATGCAAGTAGATCAGGAAATGAGTCATTATTGTCATTTCTGACTGTTGTTTCTCTACAGGTTCTTATTTTCATAGAGCGCTAGACCAGGACCATAGATCACAGAGCATAAAAATCTGAATCCAAATCCACTCTCCAACTGCACAGATGACCTTGGGCAAATTCTTTAGCCAGTCTGCTTCTGTTTCCTCATCTACAAAATGGGAATAATAATAGAACCTCCCAGGGTAGTTGTGAAAATATGAGGAGATAAAATTTGTAAAGTGCTTTGCAAACCTTAAAGTGTAAATGCTAGATATAATCACCACTACCACCACCACCACCACCACCACCATCATCATACATTTATCCATTTACAACAAAGTAGGGTTGAAAGCAACTTTAGAGTTTATATCATAATAACAGCTAACATCTATATGCTAGGCTCTGTGCTAAGCACTTTACAATTATCATATCATTTGATCCTCACAATAGCCCTGACAGGTAGGTGCTATTATTATTATTCCTGTTTTACAGATGAGGGAACTGAAGTGAGGAAACTGAAGTTGAGTGACTTCTCCACACAGCTAATAAGTATCTGTGGCTGGATTTGAACTCAGGTCTTCAGAACTCCCAACGTGGTGCCCTGTCTACCTAGCCTCCTCATTTTATAGAAGGAGAAATTGTTTGACTGAGAATTGAAGTAATTTGCCCAAGGTCATAAAGCTGTGATCTAACCCAGGTGCTTAAGATTCCTTATCCAGTATTGTTTGTGTTACTCCATATTGCCTCCAAACACAAATTGGACAGATTCACTTAAGGAGCTTCCTTTCAGTTCACATTCATGCAATATTGTTTGACCAGGTAATAGAATATCACAATTAATCACTTGCTGTGTGACCAAACAGCATACTTTGAAAATCTTTGAAAATAATCTGCTCATGAAGCTATAGTTCCGATCTGGGTTGCCCAAAAGCCCAAGTCACTCTTGGATAGCTAGGCCTGTAGTTTTAAGACATATTTCAAGTACTATCAGGCTAGTTGCCCTAACTACCAGACTGCCTTGTGTTGTTTTTTTTTTAACTATTTTGTGTATATTTGTCTTTATTTACTTTATACTTAAGCTATAATGTCTATATTTCCATAGCTACTTGTTATCTCCTCCATTAGGATATATGTTCTTTGAGAACAAGGATTGTTTCATGCTTTGGATTTGTATGCCTAGCACCTTACACAGTGCCTGGCATTGAATAAGTATTTTATGGTGATTGATGGTTAAATCTAGCTACAAATGGAAATTCTTGAGATTTTATTTTAAAAAAAATCTATTGTGGAATAGGAATAAATATTTTAAAAACTCTGTGCTGTACAAATGTGGATGTCCTGTAGTGGATCTATGATTTCCATAATGTGGCTCTTCCCTTCAATCATGCAGATCAGAACACATTCATGGGGCAGCTAGGTGGCGCAGAGGATAGAGCACTGGCCCTGAAGTCAGGAGGACTTGAGTTCAAATCCGGCTTCAGACCAAACACTTGACACTAGCTGTGTGACCCTGGGCAAGTCACTTAACCCCAACTGCCAGAAAACAAAACAAAACAAAAAAGAACACATTCATGTTTACCCTTCCTATAGCTGTGTGACTTGCCTATATCCTCCCACCAAAGTCCATGTCTTCCCACTCAAAGTGCTAGGGGCTTTCCTCAGAATACCTTCTTACCTTTTTTTTTTTGTGGCTCCCAATTTATAATGGAATATCCTGTTTTAGCTCAATTCATCTTTTCAAATAAAATGATGTAAATTCTTTACCATAAATAAATATTTAACTGTTAAAGGTTGTAATAATCTAAAGCGAACTAAGTTATAATAATAATTCTCACCTCTTTCTTTCCAGACCTGCCATAATACTACTCCCTTCTACTTAGGTCCACCAGGCAAGCTTGTGATACATAGCCAGGCAGAGGTTTCTTTCCTTTGGGTATTTCTTTCTCCTCCAGCTCCTTCCTAAATCTGGTATTCTTTAGTCGCTACCTAACTACTCAGGCCTGCTCTTTTAGCTAGCATACATAATCTGTCTAGACTTTTCGTGATGCCATCTCTCTGTACCCAGTCACAGCTGAACTGTATCTAATCCAGTTCCCTCAGGGATCTACCATTGGATGGCTAATGTGAAGAACTAATTGTTTTAATAATTGTAAACAATGACCTAATTCAGAGATCCTTAACTTTTTTTGAGTCATGGACTCCTTTGGTAGTCTGGTCCATAATTCTCAGAATAATTGCTTGCTGCCAACATTCATAACTGAAGGAATGCTGAATTTCAATTAGAAAAATTAAATGTGTAATTTTTTCTCCAGGCAAGTTCACAGACTTCTTGAAATCATATCTACAGACCCCTTGGACATCTGTGGACCCTAGGTTAAGAGCCCTTGACTTAATGTGATACCTCAAACGCTTGTATTTTAGCACAAAGAAGCGCGAGTATTTTGAGGCCTAGTGACTGAAACAACGGGGAAGAGAAAGGAAAGGGTAAATATAGGGAAGAGGGGGACCTTTATTAGTGCTCTTTAAACCACACTTCATAGGCATGTAACTTAGTATTTCTTTTTTTTTTAGTTGTACTGATAGCTTTTGTTTTTACATCAGCTTCATTTCCTAATACATTTCTTCCCCCAACTCACCCATTAAGCCAAACCTTGTAACAAAGAAGAAAAAAGAAAAAAAAAAGATTTAACAAAACTAATCAACATATCAACAGTCTGACAGTATATGTAAAACATTCATAGTTCACTGCCTCAGTAAGGAAAGAAGAGAGGCTCATGCTTCTCTGAATTCTTCAAATTTATTGTTTCTTATAGACTGAGTAACTGCCTGTTTTACTGATATATAATACTAACTATGACAATGATTTGTACAGACTGGATTCTTATATTTATGTAGTGGAAAAAGCATAGGATTTAGAGTCAGAGAACCTGTGTTAAAAAAGTCCCAACTTGCCACTTAACAAATGTATAATACTAGCCTCTCAGTTCCTTTATCTGTGAAGTAGAGATAATTAAACTTTAAACTGTCCACCCTATTATATTATTATGTCAGATTAAATGAAATTCAAGATCTAATCCTTAAAGAGCTACATAAATATAAGCTAATTTTTCTTGCAGCATAGATTGCAGCCCATACTTTCCTAGATGGCTTGGACAGTTATGGTGGCTAAAGAAAAATTCATCATCTTTTGGCTAACCTGGTGATTTAAACCTCTAGAGATTTAGCTCCATTAGTTCTCAGCTTATAGGCACATGGCTCCTTGTTGGACCTTAATCAAGACTCATCTAGCTTGGTAGGATCTGCCAGAGTTTGCATTCTAATGGCACCATAATAATGAATATTTTTGACTGAATGTATCTTCTCTACTCGAAAGCAATGCTACTCACCGAATTCTTACAACGTAGGCTCTGATGAATTGTCTTCCTAAATTTGATGCTTTGAAGGTATCATTCATCTGGATGAACAAAAAAAAAATTGTCAATAGAAAGAAAACATGTCCTATGATGACTCTGGGCCTTTTCTTTTCTCAGTTTCTTCCTCTTCCTTGTTTTCTGTTGTCCTCCACTAGTATAACTCAAAAAATGACTTTAGGTAGGACCTATAACTTCTTAGTATCTGTTTCTTCATTTGTGATGTATAAATGATAATGTTTTATAAATCATAATTAACAAGATACTAGTCTAATCTCCTCATTTCATACATGATAGAACTAAGACCCAGAGGCATTCACTGGGATATGTGCTATAGCAAATTATTCTATTTATTTAAACTTTTTCCTCCTCACCCCACATTATATGTGTTGTTGTTTAGTCATTTCAGTTGTGTCCAACTCTTCGTGACTCCCTTTGGAGTTTTCTTGGCAAAGATACTAGAGTGGTTTGGCATTTCTTTCTCCAGTTCATTTTGTAGATGAGGAAACTGACGCAAACAGGGTTAATGGCTTGCCCACAGTTACACAGCTAGTAAGTGATTTGCTTCTTGAGTCCAGGCCCACCACTTTATCCGCTGTGCCACCTAGCTGCCCTTCTACATAGGTGAATTCAACTTAAGATGAATATTGAGGGAAGATTGAAGTTCATCCTGAGAGATAGTTAGGGGAGAGAAATTTGTGGGCTCTCTGTATGAGATCTGAAGCATTTTTTTTGCAGTAGTTGGGGGTCCAAAGCAGCCTTTTCTCTCAGGGAATGTCAGCTTTTTGAGGGCAGGAACTTCTTTTGTTGTTTTTGTGTCCCAGAGCCTAACACAGTGCTTGGCATATGGTAAGCTCTTAATAACTACTTGTTGAATTGAATTGTGTTCTTTGATTCATTGCCTAGCTCCAACAATATGAGTTACCTGGAATCTTAGGGATAGTGGTTTAAGCAGTTCTGTCAAAGGTGAGAAGTCAAATGCACTGTGGTTTCATTATATATATGAAGTCCTAATTTGGGTTGATGAAAACAGCAATTCTATATTGGCCCAGACAGAGAAAACTTTGCCAAAACTAGAGAGGAAACTGAGACAATTACTAGTTTTTCACTTTTTTCATAGGGCATGTCATAGAATGTGGATGCTCAAAAGAATGATCATGGCACCTTATTTTAGCCAGTAGCAAGAGGATCACAGTATATGTCCAATTACAGGAGGCTACAATATTCTGCCAATTTAATAGAAAAAAAAAGTTGTCAGCTTTTGTCAGGTAGACAAAACAGTGGTTGATTGACGGAACTATTTGACTTTTTAATAGATTATTTTGGCACTACTTTGACACAGTCTAGGTCAGATCAACCCAGTCTTGTCATCCTATTAATTCTGTTATGCCTCTATCTTCTCAATCAAGTTAAGAAATTATGTTAGCAAAGACAAAAAACTAGCAAATTTAAAGGAGGTGAATTTTTAAAAATTAGCAGATGTCAGATGTTATATAAACAATAGCAATATGAAATTTCAGATAGAGAATAGATTCTGCTCATGCATCTCTTTAGAATTCTGCAGAATTTATAAAGCCTCTGCAATTCTTAGGTTATGGCAAAAATGATTGTTTTTAACCTTGTCATCACGTGGCAGAAAATCATTCCTAAACTGGTATTTTCAGGCTGGTTGATGTTTTCTAGATGGAAGTGAATGTAATTTTCAATTTTGAAGTCAGTGAAGACAGACTTTTAAAAATAGGATTAAGACTAATGGACTTGATTTTCATATTCTTGAAAGGGTGGGTATTTGCTTACTTTATTTTAGGTTTGGGTTAATTTATAATATGTACAAAACACTACTGTACTCTGTGCCATCTATTCATTTGTTTACCTTACCATCCCTTTCATTTGTCCTCTCTCTCTCTCTCTCTCTCTCTCTCTCTGTCTTCCCTTTTACAGCCAAACTTATAAGGAAAAAAAATTCTATACCCAATGCCTCCACTTCCTCAACTCATATTCACTCCTGAACCCTCTTGAACCTGGGGTCCTATGTTACCACCATAGAACCATGTTATTATATTGTGGGCAAATTGCTTACATATTTTGCGTACCTACAATCATGTCTGCTGAAACCACTCTCTCCAGGGTTCTCAATACTCTCTTAACTGCGACATCCAACAAACTTTGCTGAGATCTCATTCTTCTTGATCCCTCTTTGGCTTTTTGGACATTGGTGACCACTTACATATTTAAGATACTTTCTCTTTCCTGGATCATCACGATAATGTGCTGTGATTACTTCTCAGGCTTTTTTGTTGACTCATCATTTGAGTCTTGCTCTCTATGCTCAGGTTCTTGGCCCTGTTCTTTTTTCTTCCCTATATATCTTTTTTGTTGTTGAGTTTATCAGCTACTGTGGGTAGCTGACCATATTTAACCATACCTCTTTCCTGATCTCTAGTGCCATTTCACTAAATGTTATCTGGACATCTCTGCCTGGATATCTGATATGCATCTCAAACTTAACATGTCTAAAGCAGAACTCTATTTTTCACATTAAATCTACCTTTCCTCCTAACTTCTCTCTTTTTATGGAGTCCACTAGTACCTCTCCAGTCACTTAGGTTCATAATTTTGGAATAATCCTTGCCTCTTCACTCTTCCCTACCCCCATGTAGCCAATCAGTTGGGAAGTCTTGCTGATTCTATGTTCACAATCTCTCTCTCTCCTCTATCCCTTTTTGTTCATTTCCTAGTTAAGGTCCTAATCATTGCTTTTTTGGACTACTAAAGTTGCTATTTGACTGGTCTCTCTACATCTATCCTCTTCTCATTTCAATCCATAGTCTACACAGCTATTAAATTTATAATTCTAAAACACAGGTTTGACCATGTCACTACAAGCTCAATAATCTTTGATTCTCATCATTGTCTATGAAATAAAACACAATTCCCTTTAAAGTCCTTCATGACATCTCCAGCTTTGATCTTTTCATATTTATTTCACATTCCTACCCTTCAAGCACTCTTTATTCCATCCAACTAGCCTTCTTGCTGTTCCCATTTGTGACAGTGAATCTTCCACTTCCATGCTTCCATATTGAAATGTTCTTCCTTCTCTTGTTTTTGTAATTCTGGACTCCTTTCAGGGCTTAGCTTGGAAGTTACCTCTTATGCTATCACCTTTCTTGATCTCTGCTACTTGTTAGGGCATTCTCTTTCGATTTTCTTTATATTTAATTTCTACATATGAACACTTTGTATTACTTGTGTGTACCTTTCCACATGTATCTTATATCACCCCAGTAGAATGGAAGAGGAAGGAATTAAAGATGACTCTGACATTTCAGGGACAAGTGACTTGGAGTACAGTGGCATCACTAATAGACAGAGAAGTTAGGAAGGGAGAAGACAATAGGAAGATGGTAGGACATAATAAATTTGAGCCACTTCAGTAACATCCTTATGGAGATGTCCAGCAGGCATTTAAAAATGGAGGATTAGTAGAATGTGCTAAGTACTACAAATGATATATTCATAGTATTATAAAGAGAGATGACACATTTGGTGCTTGGGGAAATCAGAAAAGGCCTTATGGAGGAAGTTATATTTGATCTGGACCTTGTAAAATGTGTAGGATTTCAAAAAAATTGGAGAATGAAGAAGGGCATTTCAGGTGGAAGAAATAATGAGTAAAGGTATATGGATAGGAAAGTATAGCTTGTTAAGGGAAGGGTAAATAGTCCCATTTTGCTGAAACACACAACCCAATTTTTAATGTGCATTACAGTTAGCAACATTTTTTTTTGCTTCTCTATTCCATAAATGTATGTGGATACAACAGCTATGAAATTAGACAAAACTATGTATTACATTGTTATGTTTAGTGTTTCATGATTTTTTTTACCAGGCATTTATTTTCTACCTAAAATTCCTAAATAAAAAAGTATTGTAATTGCACACTATTCATTGGTGCAATCAAATGAATAATCCAAAGCTAGGGAAAATACAATTAAACTTAGGAATATAGAAAATGAAAGGATGTCTGCAAACATAGAAGTAGAATACATAAATTTAAGACAATCTAAGAAAATATATAAATCTTGGACATAAACCTAAGAAAATATAATAAAAATCTCTTTAAAATGACTGAAGGTACATTGTAAGGTGAAAATGCCATATAAATGCCAAGTAATTCTAATAAAAGAAGAGGCAAAAGTATTGCTTTTGTTCTTAATTGAAATTGCCTAAGTGATATTTGTACAAGTGAGAAAGAAAATTCCAGTTTTATTAAATTAAATTACACCATTGCACTAGCTTTTATACCGAATTCACCTTTACCTTCAATAACAATATTAGATAGCATTTGCACAGCAATTTAAGGTTTGCAAAGTATTTTACATATATTAACTCATTTGATCATTTGCCCTAGACCCTTACTTTCAAAAGGGCAAGTTTAATTACTCACCTCTTCATTTTTTTAAACCTCTTCATTACTAACAAAAGAGTCAGAGGGTTAGGGTTAGCCTGGTATTCAAACCCTTCTATAATCGAACTCTAATTTGCCTTTATGGACATCACACTACTATCATCTATGTATTATGTGCCAAACTTTACTTCTCACTATGCCCTGAAAATTTCTTACATCTTTCTTTATATTTAGAAGGTTCTTCAAGTCCTACTCAATCTTCAAGAAATAGCTCTAAAACTTATTTCCTATAAAAGTTTTCCTGATCCCTTTCATAAGAAGTAATCTCTTCCTCCTATAAGTTTTTATTCCATTTTATTAGTACTTTTCTTATACATTTATGTTTCATTTTATATTATATATGAATCATATGTATTATATAATAATAGCTATTTTGTATCCCTTTGATCACCCCCTCTATTAGACTGTCTTCTGTCTTTGAGGGTAAGGACTATGTTTTATTGTTTTATCTTGTTCAGAAAAACAAACCCATTAATTCAATATGTAGTAAGTGGCCTTTTTTGGTATGAAGCATCTTTGTGCATTTTTTTATTTTAGCATACCCAATATGCTGGGGATATACCATGAATATTA